ATATAATATATATAATATATATATATACAAAAAATCATTCATTTTCTTCAATATCGATTTCTTCTTCTTTTAGATTGATCTCATTCAAAATTTTTTCAAATTTTTTTTCGCTTTTTCTAATTTTTTATTTGAATTTAGTTTATGTGTTTTGGAGTTAGGAACCTTAATATAATATATTTCCAGAAGAAATGCCTTCATCAATAGAAATCAATTCTAATGCAAATCTAGGGCCTATTTCTCTTAAATCTTTTGATTGATAAATTTCAAATGATCTAAACCAAATTCTATTTTGTGCTTCACCTTCAGTAGTAAATGTAAAGATTCTATCAATAAAATTATCTGTAAATCTAGGTTATGGAACATTGAATAAGAGTGTAATTATTTCTTTAAGTAATTTATATTTAATGATTGTATTAAATCGCTAATCAAATTAAAGAAGTACTCTTCCTTTTTTTGAGAAATTTCCAGCCAACTAAAGATCTCTAATAGTAGTAACTAGAAATAAAAATATTAGAATTTACTATTAAGAACTGAGAATTAAACTGTAGGTCCTGATGGGTAAGATCCAAAAACTAATATAAGTTGATCTGAAATTGTATGGAATACAATAAAGGTATTACATTTATGATTTTCACAAAGTGAAGGAATAACTTAACTCAATTATTCATATTTGATTTTATTGGTCTAAAAAAATAATAAATGATTGGTACTTTTTTAGAATGTGGAAGTATGCTAAGAATGTCTAACATAAAATGTCTGTGTTGCAATTCTAAGTTTCTTGTAGGTACTATTAAGATATGATTTCTATAGAAGACTTTATGTTATTTTTCAGCCATAGGTATAATTCTGGATATATATTAAATAATTTTATTAATGGGTGATTAAATGTATGAATTAAGTGCAAAATGGACAGTATCAGAGAAATACAATGCTAGTTAGAATCTTGACTATAAAAAGACAATAGCAGATGTATGTTCATTCAGTACGATTGAAGAATTTGCATTTCTAATGAAGAATACTATTTATTCAAAATTATCAGATGTATTAAGTGAGCCTTTGAAATGCAAAATGTAAAGAGATGTTATAAATACAGCTTTAAATAATTCAATGATGAAAATGTAGATGTATAAATAGAGGCAATATAATATTTCAAGAATGACATTAAACCATGGTGGGAAGATGAAAATAATAAAAATGGTGGTGAGATCTAATTTGATATACCAACATAATTTTAAAATATATATGATAATTTATACTAAGATATATTATATGAAGTGATTGGATAATCAACTGAGGATTTACGACATGTAAAAAATAAATAATACTATAATAGATAAATGGTATAAGAGTTGTGGATAAAATAAATGCTAAATAAGGGAATAGAATAAGAATTGAATTATGGTTAGATATTGATCCTAAAGATAAACATGAATCTATATCAAAATTAGATGCCTGGTTAGTATCCTTGATTCAAAAATATCACATTGAGTAAACTCAACTAACTTAAGTTTCGCATAAAAAATGAACTTTGTAGATTGAATAGCATCATAATATAAAAATTATTAAATGGGTTCTATGGTATGTTCTAATAAAAAAAAACCCCTCCTGTTTCAATATACACAGATTCAGGTTTGATAACTATGAGTGAACCTCAATTAAATATATAAGATAATAAGGATGAATATTTTAATGATGAAGAATTGTTAAAATATGAAAATACAAAATATAAATTGAGAGAAGTTTAAAATAAGCCAATTAAGTAAAATGATGAATTAATATATTAAGATGGCAATCATTGAATCATTATTTAGGATAAGGATCATTTGGTTCTGTTGAATTAGGTAAAGATTTAGAGAGCGGATAATTCATTGCTGTAAAATAATTATCAATCTAGGGATATAATCCTAAATAAATTAAAGCCGTATAGAATTTTATATTGTATATTAGAAAATAGATGCATTTGAATTGGAAATAAAAGTGCTATCTAAATTAGAACATCCAAATATTGTGAAATATTTAGGAATGGAGTAAAATTAGATTCATATTAATTTGTTTTTAGAACATGTTTCAGGTGGGTCAATAAAATCTTTATTGGAAAGGTATGGACATTTTCCTGAGAATCTAGTATAATAATATACAAAATAAATATTATGGGGAATAGAATATTTACATAGTCATGGAATAATACATAGAGATATAAAGGGAGCAAATATTTTAGTAGAT